TCAGCTTCAGCCTGAACTTGCATATGAGCAATTGATGGTCTATTTCACATTCTGTCCCTGGCCTTATTTTGGCTGATGATGTAGAGCTTTTCCACTATCTCTTTCCACAGATGTAGTTAATTTGATTTCTGTGTATTACATTTGGTGAGGTCCACGTGTAAAAGTTGTCTTTTATGTTGTTTAAAAAAAGTATTTGCAATGAAGACGTCATTGGTCTTGCAAAATTCTATCATGTGATCTCCAGCATAATTTCTATCACTAAGGTCATGTTTTCCAACTTTTGATCCTTCGTTTCCAACCTTTGCATCCCAATCAGCAGTACAGTAATTATCAATACATCTTGATGGCACGTTTGTTCAATTTCATACTGAAACAATTGATAGAATCCTTCAATTTCATCTTCACTGTCTTTACTGGTTGGTACATAAATTTGAATAATAGTAGTATTAACTGGTCTTCCTTGTAGCCATATGGATATTGTCTTATCACAGACAGTACTGTACTTCAAAATAAATCTTGAAAAAAATTTTTTTGATGATAAATGTGACACCATTCCTCTTCGATTCGTCATTTCTGGCACAGGAAATCATACCATTTTCATAAGAAATCTTACCATTTACATAGGAAATCATACCATTTACAGATTCAGAATGGTCAGTACCCGTCCATTTCAGCTCGCTCATGCCTTGGTCATTATGAGGCCCATTTCATTTTTGACATCTTCCAATTTTCCTAGATTCATACTTTGAACATTCCATGTTCTGATTATTAATGGATGCTTACAGCTGTTTCTCATTTTGAGTTGTGCCCCATCAGCCAATGAAGGTCCCCAAAGCTTTACTCCATTCACATGATCACGGTCAACTCTACTTTCCCCAGTCACATTTTGAGTGTCTTCCAACCTTAGGGGCTCATTTCTGGCTTTATAGCTGACACTATTCTGGTATTATTCATAATCTTCTCCTCTTGCTATACTATACCCGACAACGTTCCCTGCGTTTTTGGTGGTTGAACATTCAGAAGTCGTCCGCTTCTCCTTCTTCCTGGTCTGTCAGTCTGGAAGCTCCGCTGAAACCTGTCCACCATGGATGACCCTGCTGGTATTTAAAATACCTGTGGCATCACAACATGCAAGCCACACGGTACGACAAACTAACAGCCGAGTGGCTGGCATTTTGAGGAGTGGCTGGTGAACATGAACTGCTTGTTCACCTTGCATTTAACAGTCCAGTGCTTATCCTACAGTGCCACACCGTACATGCAATTAGAGTCTTTGAAAAGAATGACACATTTATGGGAATCTTCAAGGTCACATATACATAGGGGTCAAGTTCAGGAAATGCTCAGAAAACTCTAAGATCTCACTTGTCACTGACACTGAGGCTCTGCCCAGTGGAAAGGGAAAGTGCAGAACGCATTGTAAACTGCTTGACCGAATGCTGAGGGCTGGCTCAGCACACAACCCCTGGGGAAGACTGGGAGATTCCTCGATTTCAGGTGTTTTCCAGGAAATCTCTTTCCAATCATTGCTGCTGTTGTTAAGTGCTGATGAGTCAACTCCCTGTATAGGGTTTCCAAAGAGCAGCTGGTGTGTTTGAACTGCTGACCTTGTAGTTCTCACAGTCCAGTGCTGAGCCTATAGTGCCACACCAGAAGTCCTTCCAATCACTAGCTGACCACTAAGCTAACCTTGGCATTCTGCTGCGGTGCTTTCGGATACAGCGCTGGACTGCAAGGGCAGCAGTTCAAGCTCACCAGCCGCTCCTCAGAAACCCTGTTCAGGGTCGCTATGAGTCGGAACCAACTTGACAGCACTTAACAACAGCGAACCTGAAGTAGAGACTTTAGTGGCCACGTTGATTTAGTTCAGAAACTAAGTTAATAAAATTAGAAAAATAGCAAGCTAAACCCAATGCAAGCAGGACAAAAATAATCATAAATAAAATAGAAAATAAACAATAGAGAAAATCAACAATACCAAAAGTTGATCAGCAACATTGATCAATATCTAGACTGATGAAACAGAGACTTGAATTAGTACAAGCAGAAATGAAAGAAGAGACGTTGCTACCAGACTTACAAACGAAAACTTTACAAGGGGATTGGTGTTACTAAGTACCTCCGAGTCATTTCTAAGTCATAGTGACTTCGTGTGTGGTTTCCAGGGAGTGACTGGTGGGGATGAAGCTTCAAGCTGGCAGTTAGCAGTCCAGTGCTTATAGGAGAAGCAATACTGTAAAGAATTTTATGCCAAAAACAAGATGCTAAGTGTTGTGGACTTGGTTAAGAGTCGTAGCGTCCCAGTACAGAGCTTCCAGGGAGCAGCTGCTGGGTTTAAACTACCGACTGTGTGGTTAGCCTACAGCACCACACCAGGATTCAAACACTGGAGAACCTAGATGAAATGGACAAATGCTTAGGAAGACACCAACTACCACAACCAACTTAAGAAGAAATAGAAAATCTTGTACATGTGGAAATGGTTCTTCCTGAGATGCGTCACCAAGAGTGTGAGCAACAACAAAACTAAAGTGGACGTCGTCAAAGGAGCGCTGGTGGCATAGTGAGCTAGGCACTGGACTGTTAACTACAAGGTCGGTAGCAATTCCAGCTCCCACCAAGGTGTAGTCCCGGAAACCTAAAGTGGTCGCTGTGAGTCAGCATCGCCACCGTGGTAGCCATTTGGTTTGGTGTTTGGGATGTGTCAAAGGGCATTAGCAAAAAAGACAAGCTACAGAATGGGCAATAACATTTGCAAACCATGTCTGCTATGTACCCAGAATATAGAAATAACTTATAATGGGACAATAAAAAGAAAAATCAGTAAAAAATAGGTTAGGCCAATTACGAAATGGACAACTTATCAGAACAGATGCGTCATCAGACATGTTCCTGTTGTTGAGAGCCGGCAAGTCAGTTCCGACTCATCGCGACCTTCTGGAGGATTTCTGAAGAGCAGCTGACGAGTTTGAACCACTGACCTTGTAGTTCAAAGTGAACTTGAGGTCGAGTGCTTATCCTATGCCACCACGCCAGGACTCCCACCACAGATATATATGGTACGTAAGAAACTGCTCAATGTCTTGTCATTTGTGAACTGCCTATCAAGACAATGAGATTCCACTACACACGTACTGCTGTGTGTGGAGTTGTTGGTTTCAACTCATAATGATCCTTTATAGGGTTTCTAAGAGCAGCTGATGGGTTTGAATTGCTGACCTCGTGGTTAGCAGTCCAGTGCTTATCTTACATCGTCATATACCTGTCGCTAAGTGCCATGTAGTTGGTTCTGACTCATAGTGACCCTGCACCAGTTTCAGAGGCTGTAAATCTTTACAAGAGCAGAGGGGCTGACGCGCTCCACACCTTCTGCTCCAGTGCTCATCCGAACGCTGACATTAAATGCTGGCGAGGATGTGGAGCCACAGAGCTGTCACTCATTCTGGGAAGAAGGTGCAATGGTACAGCCACAAAGATGAACTGTCCTTTAAACGTTTGTTCCAGCAATCAAACTCCTGAGTATGTACTTCAGTGAAATGAAAATGTTTCCACATAAAATTTACACATCTATAGCCGCCTTATTCACAACTGCACCAAATTGGAGGCAAGACGTCCGTCAGTAGGTGAGTGGATAAGCACACTGCGGTGCACCCACACCACAGGAAACCACTGAGATCAAAGATCCGAGCTCTGGAGCAACCAATGCCCACTGCTAAGTACAAGACGCCACTCTGAGAAAGCTGTTTTCTGTCTCATTTCAACGACAAGACTTTCTGGAAAAGGCCAAAACTGTAGAATAAAAACAGTGGTGGTCAGACAGAATGGGAGGGGACAGGGCCGAACAGGAGGAGCCCAGGGCAGTGAACCTTTCCTATGTGATACTGTAATGATGGACATGAACGAGATGCCTTCAAAAGATTCGTGGAAAAACGGATGAAAAGATCATGGAAAATTTCCCCCAACTTTCTGAAGCCCTTTCACACAGTAAGCATTTGTCCAAACCTCCGCCACGGTGCTACCAAGAGCTCTGAGGAGATCTGTGATGTGAGTCAGGAATACCGTATCCATGTTGGTTCATCATCTGTTACAAAGGTACCACAAGAATGCACAATGTGAACCGGAAAACATAGCCAGAGGGGAGGAGTTAAATACTATCCTTTCAGCTCAATTTTCCTGTAAATCTGACTGTTCTAAAAAAGAAACTTTAATCAAAATAATGGATGACTATATACATTTATCTCAACACTGAACAGATGTTTATCATCATTAGCTTTGAGGGAACTACAAATCAAAAACCACACTAAAACACCACTTCATACCCACTAACGAAAACCAAGCCCCTGCCATGCGGTCACTTCCCGCTCACAGTGACCCTACATAGGACTTCTGAGACTAAGTCTTCACAGGGCCAGCCGGACTCATCTTTCTCGGGTGCTTACTGCTGTCACTGTATTCTACAATCTGTGAGCTGTAACATCCCAGCCAGAGTCCCAGGTGGCACAAGCAGGAGGGGCAGACCAGGGCTCACAACACCCCATACTCCTGACTTCCACCCTGCCCTGGATGAGGCCGCTTCTGATGGACACTGACCTCGTCCCTTCAAGGCTCTGGATGCAGTAAGCAGCTATCCCCTAGCTCTGGAGCAGTGTGGGTTTTTTCGGCGAGCCCACCAGCACCCTGTGTACAGCCATGTCTTTCAGCACATGTCCAGGGTGGGAGGAGGAATGTCCCCAACCCTGCCCATCTACCCCATCCCTCAGCACAGCACCTGGCACAGCTCCAGGCTACGACCATGGAGGGAGACCAGGCCAAGCAGGTGACTACAGCTGGTGCCCTCCTCCTGCCAGATGCATTGGGGGTGGGGGCTGCGAGTGCCACCCCCCACAGCTGGACCAGGCAGGGAATGCCACATGGACAGTGGGCCAGGGGCCCTAAGAGTCATTAAAATAAACTTCTGGTTTATTTCCCAGGAACGATGGCTGTTTGGGGAGCCGTGGGCACTACTTCCAGAAGAGCACATTCCAGAAGAGCAGCCAGCAGGGGTGGAGGCCCAGGGTCAGCACCGGGAAGAGGAGGGCGCCGAAAGTGTAGTGTTCCAGGACCACCTGGGCCAACGCCGTCAGGAAGAGCTGCCAGCCCTCGGGCAGCGTCAGAGGCGCCTCCTGCAGCTCCCGCCACAGGAACAGGCTGCCCAAGAGTGTGGCCGCCGGGCTCGTCAGCACCAGGAGGACGGCGTAGAGTGGCCTGGGGGGCAGGGGGAGAGGCGGTTAGGGCAGGTCCCCTGGAGAGAAGAGTGTCACAGGGTGGAGAGGGCAGCTGACGGACACGTACCGGGGCCCGTGGGGCTCAGTGAGAGCAGCAGCGGGCACCATGGTGGCAGCCAGCAGGAAACCCAGGGAGAAGTTGGTGAGAGCAATGCAACCTAGCTGCAGGGCCAGGCAGATGAGGGCCACTAGCTTCAGTGCCATCCAGCCCCTGTCTGGGGTCTGTGTGCTCACCACCCTACAAGACAGTGGCTCAGAAGCAGTGTGTCAGGCCGCCTCCAGGTCCCAGCGCCCCCCTGGCTGGCCCTCACCTGTGGGTGTTGTGTGGGAGGGCCAGGCCCGCCACGTAGATGGCGAGGAGCGTCAGCACCACAGCCTCGGCCTCGGCCACGGGGAAGTGCTGGGCAGCCACGTGCTGACCGAGCACGGGCAGGGTGTAGAGGGCCACGCCCACAGCCTGGGAGATCAGCAGGGGCGCCACAAGCGAGGCCAGCGCCACCCCCTGAGAGGCACAGAGGCACGTGGAGACTGGCCCGTGGGTGGTGCACCCCCAGGAGCCCCTGAGGCCCTCCCTGATCCCACGAGGGGTGGCGTCACCTGTGCTGGTGGAAGGGGGGGTCCGTGTCCAGGGGATTCCCCAGCCTCCTCAGGGCCGGCTCCAGCCTCATGGAGCTGCATCCATAGTGCCAAGGCGTGACCCAGTCAAGGACTCTGCCAGAAGGTCTGATGGGTCACTCCTGCCCTGCCCCACCCCGCCCTGCAGGATGGGGACTTCCCTGATCTGGCCCCGGGCAGGCAGCTGGAAGGAGGATATCTTGAGCCCCAGGACAAGGAGCAGGAAGCCAACAGCGGGCATGTAGAGGCCGATGGAGACGAAGCGTGAGAGGGCAGGCAGCAGGTAGAAGAAGAAGGATTGGTGTAGTCGCTCCAGCAGGTGGTTGAGCTTGCGGAACATGCCTTCCAGGGCCCTGTCAGGGCAGGCTGGGAAGTCAGAGGCGCCCCCACCCAGCCAGGCCCTGAGCGTGGGAGGAGGGGGTCCAAACCACTTACTTGCCCACTGCCACCAGGTCATACTTGTATGGTCGGAAGCTATTGATACCACGCAGGGTCAGGGCCTCTACACGGTAGCGCAGGAAGAGGCCATGGGGGCCATGGGGACGGCCGGAGGCCTGCCTCAGAACCATCAGCAGCAATGTCTGCAGACCTTGCAGCGGCCCATCCAGCGAGGCCCAGTCCTGAGGCTGCAGCTTGAGGGCAGAGAACAGAGTCAGATGATGCCCCCCTAAGCCTGCCCTCTATCCCTCTCTCTGGGCAGCTCCACCTTGCCCTGCAGTGTGCATAGCAGCCCCCCTTTCTGGCAGAAGGTCTGGAAGAGGTTGAGCAGGTCAAGGTTGGGCAGTTGCCCATTGAGCCCCTCCACGGCCACGTCCAGGCTGGTGATCACATCACTGCTCAGCTCCAGAGCCACAGCCGCCTGGATGGCCCCTGCCCGGCCCTGCAGTGGTGAGGACTGCATGCCTGTTGGGGGAAGAACAGCTGCCCGTGAGGGCTGGTGGGTGTGGAGCCGGGTGGAAAGGACCAGGGCAGGGCAGGGCACCCACCCGTGACATTGACGTCGTGGTAAGCCTCAAGCCAAGCCTCAGTGCCCAGGAGGTCGTGTTCCGTCACTAGGAAGATGATGTCCTTGGCCCAGTAAATCTGCCCTGAAGGCCAGAGCCAGTTTCAGTATGGTCCAGGGTAGGGGCCAGACCCTCCCTGGCTGGCAGCCCGAGCCTCACCACGGAAGTGGGCGGCCAGAGCCAGCAGTAACCCCACTGCCTGGCTGTTGGTCGAGTCAGAACCGCAGGGCACGGTGAGCACCAGGGACTCTGTGCTGGCAGCGCGCGGGGCCCGAAGGATGCCGTACACGTTGGTGCCGTACACCATCTGTGTGCAGTTGGGAGGGGGGTCAGTGCGCACCCTTTTCTGGCCCTAGAACCCCCCTAGCTCCAGGACTCCTCTCCACTGAGCCCCCTTCCCTCGATGACCCCTTGCGCAGGTCACCTCCCCCCACCAGCACGCTTTTTAGAGCAGGCACAGCCCCCGAAATACATAGCGTTCGCGGGTCTCATCTGGGAAAGGCAATTTCCGGGAGAAGGTCTGCGTGTACACCTCCAGCCCCACCGACCGCATCGCCCGCTCCAGCCAAGCCACTGGCAGGGCCCTGGGGAGACGAGGAGAGCCCTGAGTGGGATTCCCTGGCTTGGTCACCAGCGCTGCCCCCATACCCACGGCTGTGCCGCTCACCCTGACTTCCTGCGGTGGGCGGCGAAGTCCTGGGCAAAGCTCCGGGCACGTTCTCCGCCCACAAACTGCTCCTCTACCATGGTGGAACCCATGGCGTTCTCCGACATGTAAGTGCGCTGGGTCAGCGGCGGGAATGCCAGCGCCAGGAACCAGGCGATGCCGGCTACATAGCTCAGCACGCTGCAGGGCAAGGGAACAGGGGGGACACAGGCCAATTAGGGGACCTGGGGCACCGCAGTGCCTACAACCTTCACACCGGTGGCCGCCGACTCCCTGGACCCTGCTCTTACCAGAGCGGCGCGTTGAGCCGCAGCACCAGGCGAGCGAGCGCGCGCCGGCGGACTGGGTCCGACAGGAGACCCATGGCGAGGCGGCACTAGCCGCTCCGGCCACCCAGCCAGTGCTTGCCGCCACTCTGGGCTCCGCGCTGTCCGCACTTCCGGTCCCAGCGGCCCCTGCGGCAGCAGCGCATGCCCAGAAGCTCTGCGTAGGAGGGCTGGGAGCCGCTGGCGTGCGGGGGCGGGAGTAGGGGGAAACGACTGACAGTTGGTAGGGGCAGCGGCCAGGCGGGAGTCAGCAGACTGGCTGAGGACCAGAGTTTGGACACTTACAGGCCCGCGTGACCCTGCAATGGATGGGAAGTCCGGGACGCCCCTGGGGCTGGTGGACAGTTTCAGGGCGATGTGTGGCTGTTTTCAGAAAGGAGGCTGGTAGAAGGGGAGCTAGCAGAGGGTGCCTCATGCAGGGCTGCTAAGTCAGAGGGTGCTGTGGCTGCGGTGTGCGTATTAGACTTGAGATGGTCAGAGCAGTGTGGGAGGCAACTCCAACTGAGAGCCGAAGTCGGGTGTACTTTTAGAAGCCAAAGAACGTTCGCTCTGAACCGTGGTCCAGAGGATGTGGACTATGGCCCCGTATCTGTTTGCTGGTGCCCACAGCGGCTGGGTTCTCCCTCATCTCCTTGTTTAGAGCCCCTGGAAGATGTGGAGGGCCATGATGTGCAAACTCCAGCCTTGTGCTTTCCTGCTTGTTGCCTTCAGCCTTCCCGGGCCATGCTACTCTCTCCACTCGGGGGGCCACTTCCAGGGTCCACCTCCAACCTCTTCTTCACCTTTGAATCCTGAGGCTGCCAAGAGGAAATGCAACTGACATACAGGGTCATCCCAGGAGCCAGTCCAGGCTGCAGGGCATGGAAATACTGAGGAGAGGCGAGGAGAGGGACCGAAGCAAGCAGAGTGCATGTGGGCAGCAGAATAGAATTTTATTCAGGGCCTGGTGGCCAGTGCTCAGTCCCCCAGCAAGATGGAGGCCTCATGCACATGCTGCCGGACCACGCGGTCCAACAGGGTGTGTACGTCCCGAGCAGCCTGGGCAGCGGTCTCCAGCACCTGCTCCAGGTGGTCCTCGTGCAACCTGGCATCCATCTCCAGCAGTGCAATCTGGCCGGAGGCTGGCAACAGGGCCAGGGCCAGCTGAGGGCCCCCAGCCGCTTCTTCCACGTGGCTCAGGTCTGCCAGAGCTGTGCCATCCACAAAGCCGGCTGAGCAGGCGCACACGAAGTCCCGCATGGGTATGCCAGCGTCCATCACTGCCAGGGTGGCTGCGTTAACACAAGCCGCGTAGGTCCCACCATCTGCCTGCAGCACCTGCAGAGAGTCCCCGATGGCCATCAGTTCATCAGGCTGCTGGCCCCCAGTACTCTCACCCACCCCCAGGCTGAGGGCTGCTCACCTGCACATAGATGTCAATCTGGGAGCGCGGGTGCAGCTGGGTGAGGATGGCGGCATCAAAGGTCTGGCGTAGTTGTAGGCCCATCTCGCAGGACTTGCGGTCTCCATGTGGCCGCTTCTTGCGCTCACCGGTACTGAAGGTCGCCGAGCTGTACTGACAGTTGACCAGTGCCCGGTCGGGCAGGGCTCGTGCCCTGGAGCCCCGGATCTGGGGAGGAAGGACACATGAGCAAAGCCACTCTTCTCAGGACACACTATCGCCTCCTCTGTAGCTCAGCTCCAAACCTCAGCCTCCTCCTTCTAGGAACATCTGCTTTACCTGCAGAATCTACCCTGAGGGAGGGCCACTGGGCCAGTCTCAGCCATCACCAGCTCCACCCTGGCATCTCGCTAAATCACCATTCTCTTTCCATCCCTGTTTTACCCCCTTCTATCCACCACATGGCAACCTGAGTGTATTTCCAAACAGGTCTGATTCTGTCTTCCCTACACACATGCCCTACTTCCCTCAAAGGCTTTCCATCACATGTGAAGTCAACTCTAAACCCTTCACTGATCTACAAGGTCCCGAATCCTTTCCTCCCTGGACACTCCAGCACCTCATTTGGAATGATCCTTCCTCTCCCCACCAGCAGCCTTTCTGCTCTGCAAAGCTGCTATGCTCTTTCCACCCTCTGGCACTTGCACTTCTGGGTCCCTTCAGCTGCAAGCTGGGCCTTGGACTCATTTGTCACGCCAACACTGTCTTTAGTGTCTACACTGGTATCACTGTTACAGTGCTGGGGACGTGGCAGCAAACAAGACGGTTAGAAGTTCCTGTCCTCATCGAGTTCAAGTTCAAGTTGTCCCTAGGTGCTATCAAACTGCTTCTGACTCATACAACCCTATAGAACGAACAGTCCTGCACCCGCCTGCCACTCCTTGTGGTTTGGGATCACTGTTGTGGCCACTGTGTCAATCCATAGCATCGAGGATCTGCCTCTTCTTTGGTTGACCAAGCATTATGTCATTCAGGAACTGTCCCTCCTGCTAACATGCCCAAAGCATGTGAGACAAAGGCTTGGTCTCCTCATTTCTAAGGGGCATCCTGGCTGAACCTCCACAACAAAGTTGTTTGGTCTTTTGGCAGTCCATGGTAGCAATATTTTCACCAATCTCATAATTCAAATGCATCAATTCTTCAGTCTTCCTGACTCATCATTCAGTTTTCTCATGCTTATGAGGTGATTGAAAATACCACGGCTTGGATGAGGCACACATTATACCTCAGTGTGACATCTTTGCTTTTAAACACTTCAGAGGTCTTTTGTAGCTGATATGCCCAGTACATGTCATGTGGTTTAACTGTTGCAAAATGGAATCTTGACAACTTCATTTTTGTGTTTATTGGTCCAGTTGTGAGGATTTTTGTTTTCTTTACGTTGAGGTGTAATCCATAGTGAAGGCTGTGCTCTGTGATCTACATTAGCATTTCAAACCTTCTTTACACACAGCAAGCACGGCTGTATCATCTGTACGAGAGTGAGGGGTTTAATGAGCCTTCCACCAATCTTGACGGAGCATTCTTCCTCATACAGTACAGTTTCTTGAACTTTCTGTTCAGCATACAGATTGAATAAATATGGTGAAAGGATACTACCCAAAGCACACCTATTCCAATTTTAAACCACACACTATCTCTTTGTTCTGTTGGAATGACTGCCTTTTGGGCTATGTTCAGGTACACATGAGCATAATTAAGTGTTCTGGAATCTCGTTCTTCACAATGTTATCCTTGATTTGTTACCATCCACACAGTCAAATGCCTTTATGTAGTAAAACACAGGTAAACATGTTTCTGACCTCTGCTTAGTTAAAATCCATCTGAAATCAACACTGATATCCCTGTTCCATGTCCTCTTCTGAATCCAGTTTTAATTTTTGGCAATTTCGTTGATGTAACGTTGACGGTTCCAACCTCCCAGCTGTTCTTTGGAAACCCTATACAGGGTTGCTATGAATCAGAATGAACTCGATGGCACTTCACAATAACATAACTGCTGCAACAATTTTACTTGTATGTTATCTTAATGATATTGTTTGGTAACTACTGCATTCTGTTGGGTCATTTTTCTTTGGAATGGGGACAAACAGGTCTCTTCCAGTTGTTGGCCAGGTCGCTCCAGCTGTGGTAATGTGTGTGTGGAGTCAGTTCTGACTCCTAGCGACACTATATGAGGTTTCTGAGGCTGTAGCCCTCCCGGCACCCGGCCGAGCGTCTGGAATATTAGAACTCTTGACCTTGTGGTTTGCAGCCCAACTTGTAACCCACCCCGCTTACTAAGGCTTCTTTGCCTTCGAGTGGGGGAGACAAATACATATGTTTCACCCATTTGTGAATGATAAATAAAATCGATATTTGAAGTAATAGGTGCAAACCAGCAGAGAAAGGAAGTGTGCGTTTGAGGGGAGAAAATTTTCCGTGTCGCTGCGATGGGGGGCCGCCCAGCATCGGAGTGACAGCAGCAAAGATCAGCGGAGGGCTCAGGAGACAGAGGCCCGTGAGAACGGCGGGACCACGGTGGGGCGCCCTGTAAAAACTCTGGCCTTTTACTAACTGACGACAGGCGGCCCGATTCCTTCTCCCACCCAAGGCAGCCTGACCGATCGGTGCACGCCCACTCGCCTCGTGCGGCCCGTAGACCACCGCCAGTGCCTTGGTGTTGCCTTGCTCGATGTAGGCCGAGCCGTCGGCCTGCGTGAACACGCCCATCCGCGCCTGAATTTTGCGCAGCTCTCCTGCACGCCGCCCATCCACGCGGTAGCCCTGGTCAGATAGCAGCTCCAGTCCCGCCATGCTGCCGGGTAGCCAGTCCCGCTCACACAGAACTACACTTCCCGGCGGCTTCGCTCCTTACTTCCTACTTCCTGGATCTTGATTTCCGATGAACCCGCGCTCCACTTCCGGTCCCTTGGACTACGGTTTGCCGCGGTCGTGTCACTACTTGCTGCATGGAGAACAACGGTTCCGGCTGCTCCGCTTCTCTTTTTAAATCTCAAGGAACTCCGGCTGAGCTCCCGGGACGGAAAGCTGTGCCCGCGGCCGGTTCCGGAGCCTTCCCGCAGCTGCGAGTCTCGGGCCCCCTCCAGCCGTCCTCGCGCTTCGGCACACCCTCCTCTTCGGCGGGAACCCAGAGATCCAGACTCGCTCAGCCGCTGGCGTCTCCTGGCCCGACGCAGCTTCTCTATGGAAGTCCTGGAGTCCTCTTGGAGACCCACCGGGTGCAGACGTTCGCCGAGGAGAGGCCTTGTGACTGTTCTCTTCTTTCTTAGTCTAGATACAGTTTTACATGACACACATATATGACCCATGTTCTTTTTAGGGAAGTTTTGATATTCTCTTCATCTGCTTAGGTATTATGTCGCCGTCACCCAACCCCTTGTACTTTTATAACCAAAAATAAAAAAAAGTTCCTTCGATATTTCCCCCATACTCTCACTGTTGTTGTCAGGTGCCATCGAGTCGGAACTGACTCATAGCGACCCCATGCACAGCAGAACGAAACAATGTCCGATCCTGGGCCAACCTCACTACCGCTGCCACACGAGTCCATCAATGATGCCACTTGGCCAATCCATCTCGTTGGGGGTCTTCCTCTCTTTCTCTGACCCTCCACCTTACCCAGCATGACATCCTTCTCCAGCGACTGTTCCCTCCGGACAATATGTCCAAAGTATGAGAGACGAAGCTTAGCCATCTTGGCCTCCAAGGAGCACTCTGGCTGCACTTCTTCCAAAACAGATCTGTTGGTTCTTTTGGCAGCCCAACACCATAACTCAAAAGCATCGATTCTTCTACGGTCTCCTTATTCACTGTCCAGCTTTCACATCCATATGAGGCTATTGAAAATACTATGGCCTGGATCAGGAGCACCTTAGTCCTCAAGCTGACATCTTTGCTCTTCAATACTTTAAAAAGTTCCTGTGCAGCAGATTTGCCCAGTGCAATACTTCATCTGATCTCTTGACTGCTGCTTCCGCGAGTGTTGACAGTTGATCCCAGAAGAATGAAGTCCTTGACAACTTCAATCTTTTCTCCATTGATAGGAATGTTGTTTATTGGTCCAGTGGTGAGGATTTTTGTTTTCTTGATATTGAGTTGTAATCCATATCGAAGACTGTGCTCTTTAATCTTCATCAGTAAATGTTTCAAGTCCTCTTCACTTTCAGCAAGCAATGTTGTATCACTTGCATATCGCAGGTTGTTAATGAGTCTTCCTCCAATCCAGATGCCACGTTTTTCTTCATAGAACCCAGCTTCTCGTATTATTTGCTCAGCATATAGGTTGAATAAGTATGGTGAAAGAATATAACCCTGTCTCACACCTTTCCCAATTTTAAACCATTCAGTGTTCCCATGCTCTGTTCGAACAACTGCTTCTTGGTCTAGGTACAGATTCCTCAGAAGTACAATTAAGTGTTCTGGAATACTCATACTTCTCAATGTTGTCCATAGCTTGTCATGATCCACATGATTGAAAGCCTTTGCGTAGTCAATAAAGCACAGGTAAACATCCTTCTGATATTCTCTGCTTTCAGCCAAGATCCATACTCCCAATAATTACATGTAATAAACCGTACCCAAACCCATGCAGTCAGAGACCTCGGGGTCTCTGGTTATTTTTCAAGATGGGATCATTCCACAGTTCTGTTTTTCTTTTTAAAAATTCCTCATAAATCTCTCCCAACAGTCTGGTGAAATGCTCATTAATCTCTCATTGGCTGCTTGATACCCACGGGGTACAGTACCTGCCTGTGTTATGGTCACTCCCATGATGAGTGGTCAGTGTGTCCAGGGAGACAGATTTCTGGATGAAGGTTGTAGATGTGAGGATTCCTTTTTCCCTTCTTTCCCATCAGTAACATAGTTTGTTGTTGTTGGTAAGTCGAGTCAATTCCAACTCCATGACCAACAGCATGTCATTCTCCAGGGACTGGTCCCTGCCAACCTGTTCAAAGTACAAAAAATGAAGTCTTAGCATCCTCCCTTCTAAGGAACATTTTGATTGTACTTCCAAAGGCAGATTTGTTTGGTCTTGTGTCAGTCCATGGTACTTAACAATATTCTTCTGCAACACCATAACTCAAACACATCCATTTTTCTGTCTTCTTTATTTGTCATCCAAGTTTTACATGCATGAGGCAACTGGAAATACCATGGCTTGGGTCAGGTGTACCTTAGTCCTCAACACGACCTCTTTGCTCTTTAACATTTTTTAAAGAGGTCTTTTGCACCAGATTTGCCTGCTAAGATATGTTTGATTTCTTGAGTCCTGATGTGGCACAGTGCTTATCTTACTGTGCCACACAAGGACTCTAGAATAAACGTTAGGGATTTTAGTGTAATCCTGGCCAGCCCTGGGGTGTTACCCAACATGGCTTTCTTACTGTAGCTTGCATTTCCTGGCCCTGGTAGGTTCCAGCATCTTACCTCCATGGAGTCCAATGGCCTGGCCATTTGGATTTGCACTTCCAGGAATTGCTTTTGCATCTAGAGGAAGGAGAAATGAGGGGGCCCTCCTGCCCAGACACCTGTCTCCCATTTTCTAGTGGTCAAGGTTAACCAGTGTGAGCTCATTTCCCTACTCACACAGGTCACATGATTCAGCCCTTCTGTTTCAGCTGAAAACAAACATAGAAAAGATTGATGTTATCAAAGACTTCTTTTTCTTTTTCTTTTTTAAAAGCTTTTATTGTGAATTGAGTGATAGTTTACCTGGGGGAACATCAGTTTTGCACTCATCCTATCGTATTTCATTCCATTGCAATGACTGCAATCTTCTCCATGCATCATCATTCAACAGTTTTGGGTTCCTTTTGATGCACACAAAAACACTCAGGAATAGATATAATTATTTAAACAACCCAGGGGCCCATTCTGCAAGCCTACCTCCTGGCCGCCAGCACACAGCCTTTCTCTTTCCATGAGTCTAGAGTCCTCAGCTACTTTATCTCTCTATGTCGTTATCTCTGCCTCTATCTTTGGTGTCGTTGCTTCTCTGGATAGGGGCCCATATCCAAAGACTTCATTTTGCTTGGATCCACAATTAGTGCTTATGGAAACAGCAGTCAAGAAATCAAATGGTGTATCACATTAGGCAAATATGCTACAAAAGACCTTTTTAATGTTGAGGTGGGACATTCCCACTAGAAAGGACAAGCAGACCAGTCTGGAACAGCTAGAGCAACAGAGGATACATCTTCAAAGAAACATCATCAGGAAAAACCCAAAACAAAAACGGCAGTGTGACTGGCTACTACAGGAATAACCAACTGTTCGCCGGGAAGCCATCAAGGCAAGCAATCAAGTTCCCTCAGGACAAACCCTCCCTGCAAAACTGAAACTCAGAGGGAACACATGAGCAGGCATGTAAGCTTGCTGGCGACCACACTGGTCTACTGGTGAGTGGAAGAGGGGGAAAGGCAGCAATGAAGAAATGGGCTGAGTTCAACCACAGTCCATTGACCTGGAGATGAGAGAGAGAAGAGGAAGGGCTGGTTTCTCCAAAGTGTAGTGAGACCTGAGGACACTTGAGCCCATGGACAAGGACAGCCACAGAGGGTTAGAGCTGAGTGTGAAGCATCCAGCTGATATGAAGTAAGGGGAGATGCACAAGAACACCCAAATTTGCAGATAGTAACCATTTGACCTAGGCTCGATGGCTTGATAATCAGAACTTGACTACAGGAAGATAAAAAACAATTTTTGATAAAGGAAGCAAGTGTAAATTGCTATAATTTGATGAACTTGACCTATGCTCATGGATGTAGTAGCTCAAAATGCCAACAGAGAATGATGGAGTCTTCACAACAAGGATCAATGCTAACCTCTCTGTATACAGGGTAGATAGGGATAGTTGCCTCATGTATGTAAAAGTCGGACAGTGAATAAGGAAGAAGGAGAAGAACGGATGTACTTGAATTGTGGTGTTGGAGAAGACTAGTGAAAATACCCTGGACTGGGTCTTAGAAGAAGTACAATCAGAACGTTCCTTAGAAGCTAACTTGACCTGACAAGGCTTCTTGTCTTGTACTTCTCTTGTGCTCATATCAGGTGGGACCAGTCCCTGGAGAAGGACATCATGCTTGGAAAAGTGGAGGGTCAGCATGAAAAGAGGAAGACTCCCAACAAGGTGGCTCAACAGTGACAGCAACAACGGGCTCAAACAACAATTGTGTGGATGGTGCAGGACTGGGATGCGCTTCGTTCGGTTGTGCGCAGGGTCTCTGTGAGATGCACCTAACAACAAGTGGGCTAAAGCAGTGGACAGCAAGGTCGACAGTTCAAACTCACCAGCTGCTCCTTGGAAACCCTGTTCAAGGTTCCTATGGGTCAGAACAGACTCAACGACACTTAACAACTACAACACAAACTGCAGCAGCTCAGGAACCAGACCCTACTCTGTGGAGTTAACAAGAAGGAGGTTGAAATGGTTTGGTTGCGACACTGACCTAGGACAAAGGCAGTGTTCCAATGGGACTGAGAAGGTGCCCTCAGCTGTGTCCTGGTGTGGCCTACAAATGCTACTCAGATCCACCTGCCCTCCCTTTACTGTGGCCTACACACCACAATAAGGTACCCTCATTCTTTCCAGAAAGGGGCTGTTGTTAAGTGGGGTTGAGTTGTTTCCCATTCATAGTGACCCTATTTCCAATGCTGTAAGTCTTCCCGGGAGCAGAGAGCCTCAGCTTTATCATGTGGGCTCCAACCATCATGAGAACATGATTTTGTTATTTGAAGTCAGTGAGGTTTGGGCAGTTTGTTATGCAGCAATAAGTAAACAGATACATAGAGACCCTAAGGTCAGGTACACC